TGGTTTTCCTTTGAATGAATCTGTCAAAGGTTGCATTAATTGTGCACAACCTGGTATGAATCTGCGATAAAAGTTAAGTAGACCTAGAAAACTTCTCAGTTGTGTTAGAGAACTAGGTATGGGGTATTGTTTGATGGTGTCTACTTCTTTTTTGATCGGTTTAATCCCTTCTGGGCTTATTGTGTGACCGAGAAATTCTAAAGTTTGAACACCAAAAACACACTTACTTTGATGTATGTTTATTCCATGTTCATCCAGTCTTTTCAACACTGTACATGCTGTTTGTGTGATTGCAAATCGGGGCTGGTAATTAACAAGTCGTCTATATACCCCTGCGCAAATGGCATATCTCGAAGTAGGTTGTCTATGAATCTTTGAACTGTCTGTGCCGCATTTCTCAGGCCGAATGGCATGCGTATAAACTCGAATAAGCCAAAGGATGTTGTAATAGCTGTCTTGGGAATATCTTCATCAGCCACTGGGATATTGTGATATGCCCTGACTAAGTCAATTTTAGTGAATATGTTCATACCCTGTAAACCGTTTGTGAAATCTTGTATATGCGGTATTGGGTACCTATCTGGTACGGTTTGACGGTTGAGGGCTCTGTAATCCCCACACGGTCGCCAGTCACCTTCATTCTTCTTTGGGACCATATGCAAAGGGGATGCCTATTGACTATCTGAGGGACGGATAATACCCAGTTGTAGCATATAATCAAACTCGGCCCTAGCGATTTTGAGCTTATCTGGTGCTAGTCTCCTGGGTTTTGCAAAAACCGGTGCACCTTCGGTTTTGATAGTGTGACTTACTTTTAGTTTGTCTTTGGAAGGCTGTGGGTTTGGTTTAGTTAAGTTCGGAAATTCCACGAGTATATCTTGAAATTTCGCTGTTGTTACTGGAGGAGTTTGAATCAAGTTAAGAGAGCTGATGTGACTTTCTTTGCCTTTTGTGTAATACGAAGTTTCTTTTAGTGTTAATCGCCGTCTTTTGGTGTCAACTAGAAATTCGTATCTCTCTAGAAAGTCAATCCCCAGTATTGCCAGATCTAAGTCGGCTACCGTGAAAACCCAAGGGAATTGCCTCCTGAACCCCAAATCTAGGGTTAAATTTTTCTGCCCAAATGTCGCAATTTTAGTTTTATTTGCAGCTTGAAGTGTAATTGATGATGTTTCTCGACTAATCTCAGTTTTATTTTGAGGGATGATGCTAAGAGCAGCGCCAGTATCCACCAAGAAATTCAAGCCAGAGTTTTTATCTCTAACATAAAACAAGCGACTGTTTAGGCGCCCCTCCTCAGTCGTCGCGACCTTGGGAGGGGTTACTCGTTTCCCGCTGTCTTAGAATTATGTTTAGGCCAGGCGCATGGTTGCATGCACTTGGTTGAGTTGACACCAAACTTCCAGTGGTACCAACAAAACTGCCCAGATTGTCTGGACATTTGTGACCTGTTTTCTGACATGGATCGTGGTCGTTGTGGTGATCTGCTCCTGTTTCTATGACCCATTTGCATTCTGGTGACAGCCTCAGTGAGACTCTTAACACTCGCAATGAGTCCTTCTATGACGGGGTCGTTTGCTGATTCTACTTTTTGTGTGTGATTTATTGTGCCTGATCCAGTTGGAGGACCTCTTTCCATTATTCTATCGGCTATACACGCTAAATGAGATAATGAGGTTTCAGGATCTTGTGCATCCAAACAGTGTTGGACGTAGCATGGGAGAGCTTGTATCCATCCTTGTTTTAGGACCGCTTCACCCACTGTGTTATCACCAACTAGGACTTGGAGGTGACGTAAAAACTGTGACGGCGACCGATCACCTAGTGTTTCACCTTGAAAAAGTCTTTGGATTCTTTGACTATCTGATAATGATAAACGGTTCATTATCTCTCGTCTTAAGATGGTGTATGGTTGTGGTGATGGTGGACTTAAAATCAAGTCACGGACTTCTTTGGCGACTGAAGGAGGAAGGATAGAACACAAGTCTCTAAAGCGAATCCCTTCAGATTTGATATTGTATCTCGTGAAATAATGCTCTAGTTGAGCAAACCACAACTCAGGATCACTACGATCAGATTCTGGAAGTCGGGATTTCGTAGTCATAACAGTGTCTATCTCCACTGGTGACAAATCCCCCAGATTATGGGTTTCTATTGAGTCTGACATGAGGTATGTGACAAATATAGCAATAAAGTTAGCACGAAAAATGGTTACTATAACACGAATAACTTGAGATAATACGTAATAAACTAGTTATATACTCAACTTAGTTTACGGATAATCAGGCCTACTTTTACGATTAAGTAAAAAAAATGTTAATAACAGAAATGAGGTTAAATTTGTGTTCAAAAAGGGCTCACCACCTTCGTGCCTTAAGGTAACCCTCGTGCTATTGATAGAAGAAACCAGAGTAGTGAATAGGTCTTTATTTCGATCTTCGCGCAGTCACAGTGCAGCGTGGGATTATCTGTTCAGACAAACAAAGGCTCTCAACATTCAATATAAGATAATAGGGAATATAACGCTTATAAAAAATAAGGAAGTGAATGAATACTTGAACAATACTGTTTTAGCATATGCTTGGTTGTTTGGGGTCAATTCTTAACCAACCAACCTGAGCTGTTACAGTGTGACTTCCACGTAAGATCTTATAGATGTAAGATCCATTTTGAATGTTTTGTGTGTTTGTGAAAGTCCCTCCATGCGTATACTTGCACTTTGTTCCTATTGATCCCCTTAGTTGTACATTGTTAGTTTTTTGATTACATTCGAATTGTTAATATTTTTATTTTATCATGGTTTTTATTTTATTACGCCTTCACTAAGTTTTTGTGCTTCTTCCCGAACTGTATCTACGTTGTTTTAGTTGGCACTGGTTCTTGGCGGTAGCCATATTGATTTGCTCCTCCTTTTGTGTGTGTTCTATCCTGTCAGGATAGAATAACGTTCATTTGTTGTGACTGGTAACTTTCCCTCATCGTTTATCAACTTCTTTATTTATTGTAATTTAGATTTGATTGATTGAACAATTATTGGTTGAACAGCCGAGTGGTAATATTTGTTTAGGTAACGATTTACATATAAATTTATGATGAATTATAGAACCTCTATTTACCCGATTACTTGTTTTGATTTCGACGGGAAAGGACGCGTGTCTAACGTACCTGGACGGCTATTCATCCATCCAAACCTTAGTTTGGATCTTACATAGATTAGGCAGTTATATCATGACAAATCTATAATTTTAGGATTAGGTCTATTATTAGAGCAGTACTAATATCATAGTAGACCATAATTCTACTAGTCTATTCAGATTCTTAATCCTTGTGAAGCTGCCACATGTATTGGGAGTTTGACAACACTTTAACCAGTAACACGTACTATGAATCGTGTACACAAAGTGAAATTAAAAGACAGAAGCAAGGAGGTTCGAAGATATATTTGATAGGCTATCGATATATCGATGACCGTCTGATCTAATCTGGCTGGCGATTGCAAGGGATGTTGAGCACGGCCTTCCCACTCGTGATATGGTGTGGATGCATGACCGAGCGCATTCAGCTAGGTGAGTCCATTAATACTAAAGTGGTCAGCATCCAATGTCGAAGACTTACAGAGCTTTTGGATTCATTTACTGCTACACTTGGTTTACGCCACGTGCTCTTTTAAACAAAATTAGCTATGTTAAGTTCATTTTTCTGATTGAAATCCCAAGTGTAGTTCTAGTGACGTGAACACATTTATCACTGTTCTCCATGAATTACAATTGTCTAAAGTCATTGGGGATTATTTTAACTCAGAATGACCTAACAAGTTGACTGAAACAAGAAAAATTCTTAGGTGTGTAAAACAGGTCCGAACTTCAAATAGGATAAATAATGAACTTGCCTTACCATTTATGATCGAATTTAACTCAATTTCAACTAACTTCAGTCATGAAATCCTATTGAGCGATAACATATGGTAATACTCATGGACTTTCCATTTTGACTTTCATTAGGCATATACGACAACCGCTGCGCGTTTTTCTTCGACTGTTGTGGAAACCGACGCTTAACACAGTACCTCAAAAACTTGCTCCAGGTTTTTAACTTTTCATACTTTATTAGGATAAATCCCCGATTATTTTTAAGTCATCAAAGCTATTTTACATTAATGACGTCAAAATCTGGAGAGAGCTAAAAAGGTATCCAAATGAGTATGTGCTCCAGGCCGACCTAGACATTTGGGTTAGGTTTTATGAACTACGACTAATGCTTATTTACACGACCACTTATGTCAACAATCACAGTGAACTTTGAAAGATAAATAACAACAGCGATGGGAAGTTTATGTGACTATAGCCCTACCTTAAAACGACCGAGACGTTACAGCAAGTCACAATCTTGAGTTGAAGAACCACCACTGTGCAGTTTTAGCAAAGAAGGTAAGGGTTCTATAGGCATCTTGACGGATAATTACCAAGCTAAATATAAGCATGTTCTCAACTGTATGCACAGCCTTAGTTTTACCCTAATTTGAAAATACCTTTCTGGCTGTAAGCCCCTGTAGGAAGGTGATTAGAATATTTTCAGAAGGTAGAGGTCACAATTACCTGGGCCACTCTGGAATTCCTAAGCTTTGTACACGTTGCCGCTTGAGATGTTAAACCTTTTAACTCTAATCTCAGGATTTATTGATAATCTGATTTTAATGTTTGCAATGCTACGATGTAAGTTACAACATGTGCCTTTCCTTACTGTTTCTTCTATATCAAAACAACTCAAGGAACACTATAAGGAAGTTCAAAAGACAAGAAAGAAAAAAATACACGTGTCATACATAATTTATCCCAGTGTATTCAACTCTCTGAACTTACTAGTGAAGTCCACATGTTCAGTTAGTTTTATCAGGATACTAGGCACTCAAATAAGTTTAAGAAACGTAAAAGACACGAGCTGTTGACCTATTGTCCTTAATGCGCGAATCTAAATCAGAATCCTACATATAATTGGAGATTGAAGACCGAGGGTCAGCTTCATCAACCGCCGTTTTCGTAAATTTGACTGTAAAACTCATGTTGACTTTTTCGTAAGTGTTCAGATCTTATTGACATTTTAAAAGTGATATTGAGAAGACTTTACGATGTTCTTTTGGTTAAAGTTTAACTTAGTAAGTTGGTGTAGTCCTCATTAATCGATGTACCTTCACTGACGAAGAAACTATTCTCCGGAGAATTTAAATTTATAATTTCGGAACACTCGTTCCTCATAGGTTTGTTTTTATTGGACAAAAAAATCTACTGCTCGAAGTCGTCCGCGATGAAAGCAGTCATTTATTAATTGGTCCATAGTTTTGCACAAGGTGATTTCGTTTGTATTTTGTTATTGTAACAGGACACTAAAGATTACCAATGATTTCAAAATGCAACAATACTTGTAGGCTTTACGCCAGCAAATTATCCCTGGTATTCTGGAGAGCAAGTGCTGAAACGAAGCTGTTTAAGATGCTAAATTTAATCTATATGTATTTAAAATAAATGGTCAACGTATACCCTACCGTCGTGTCCCACTTTACGTAAATCCCTGGTTTCGATTTTTCCAGAAATGAACAGTTGTCAGTTTGTATTAGTTCTTGCTATCGGGGTCTTCGTAAAGGTCGAGTCTGATTTTCTAACGTTAATCGCTGTCTCCTAATTAAAATATAAGTATTAGTTCTGATTCACTATTTGTTGATGCGGTTAGTAATACTAGCTAGCTTAACTTTCATAAAAGCCCAATATTTTTTGAATACAAGTTTATATCTTTTATTTACTTTGACCAGTTCGATTTATTTCGTCTTCTATTTCGAGAAAATAAAGACGCTTTTGTTAGTTCTAACACAAGCCCGTCTGATTCCGCCAAATTATTCAACTTCGGGTATAGACTAGACGTTCACTTATCCAACAAAAGCTGGTATATCATGCGTTAGCCCTCTCTATAGGTATACATTTAATAAGTTCCATTCGCTGCAACAGGCATCTTTTAGACATTACCAATGAGCTATATTGGTTAACGGAAGTATTCAATTAGAAAGTTGTTGGCGCCACTAGGACCAAGAAGTAATATCAGTCCATAAAGTTAATTTCAGTCATGAGCCTTGCAGGCAGTTCCAGACTTTATGGTCCAGTTCCTTTATTTTCATCTATTTTGTATAGACACAAACATCGGTAAAAGAAGGCACCAAATATACATGCGCCACACTTCGTCATCTGATTTATGTGAGGACTGGAAAACTGCTTGAGTGCCCAAACCGAAGCAGGTGGTCTTCTCAGAAGGCCACCCCCAAGCCATTGACCTAGAAGTCTTATCCACAAGACAGTGGAGAGATGCAGTCCCACGGTAGCCAGTGACCAACAATAGGTTGGTGCACCATCTGTTCCCTCAGGATCCTGAAGCGTATGTGCACTATTGGTTTGGAACCAGGGTTTTCTTGCTCTTCTAAGTGGTTCCTTTGTATCCACCATCTTGGTTAAAGCGTCGGACATTCGCCTTTCGTCCTCTGAATCTCGTAGACAAGACCCCACGACGAGAAGTGAGTGAGTAGGATTTCCCTGAGTGTTTGTATACATGTGGTCATGTGAGAGCGTTTCGAGAGGGAAAGCAGACTCTACCTACCATCGACCATACCAGAGCATTTAGAGGCGTTTGGTTCCTTAAGATTGTCATTGGGTGTAGTTGTAAATCTTAGATTACGTAGATTAAACTAGGTTGTAGAAATGCTAACCTGTCTTTATATTCTGCTGCATTCCCATCTTAATGTCATTTTATACATCTTACTTTCTACTTACTCCCTTTCACTACCATCGATATTGTATTACTTCCAAGGTTTGGCGTGGTTATATCAAACAAAGCTAACAATCAATGGATCGTTTACGATAATAAAATAATTTGTTTGTAATATCCCAACGGGTAGAAAACAGAACTTATGTGGTTTAGGAGCTTAGTGTATTTCTTTTAAAGAAGCTGATCATCTGCGCATCATTCATTTGATTGTACCATCGGTTTACTCCCTACATCCAGTGGAGTTTTAGTCCGATAGCTGACAATTCCCATCTACAATTTTCATAAATCCTACTTTGTATTTGTCTACCTGATTCCGTCCGCATTACTTCTAAATTTCTTGCAGAATGTTAGTGAGTCGATAAATGGGAAAGAAAAAGATCAGCAACACACAGCCCTCGTGTGATTTTTGTTTCAGTAAACATGGTTTGGAGGATCTGGAATCATTATATCCCACACTCATAAAAGGTAATCTCTTTTACAATGACTTACTCTTGCAGTTGCCGGATGTAATGAATTGCCCTTACTGGATTTATCTTCAATCCAAATGGATTTGGAGCAAATTCTGGCTAGCGTAGTAGAGCGTGTTATTTGCCTAAAAGCTGAGTCCAAAGGGAAGGGTTTACCTGTTAATATCATTTCTTCACTAAAATATCAAAAAGGAAGTTGTGAGCCTGAATCTAATCAACAATGTCTCTCGAAATCTTCGTTGGTTGTTAAAGCTAATCCTGACAAACCACTTACTTTAATAATATCTCAGCGCTCAGGTCCTTGTCCGAATTCTCAATCAATACTACCTGCTATTTCTAGTGGACTTAGCAAGGCCAAACCTTCGGTGAGTGCATTCGGCCTGCGACGGTCCAGCAGGGTAAGATAATATTTGAATCGTTTCATTTGTAAATTCTTTTCTAATATTTCATAATTTATCATTACTCTAAAATAGGACTTGATTTCAGTGTTTCCTTATATGAGATTGTTAGATTTACTACAACGAAGCACTGATATATGTTAGCGAAGTAATTCAGTAACCAAATATGGATATGTGTACTCGTCGTTGACTCACTTTTTATGTGAAAGTGGGAGATAATTCCGGTTACACAATCAAATCATTTTAAGATTCAACTCATTTTTGGTTTTGCGAAATTCTTGTTCCTTGCAAATAATATACAGAGCTGCATCTAGTGATGTTATAAATATTCATGGAACTTTCACCTTGGTCAAAAAGCTTGTTTACTTTTCATTAATATGTAGTATAATACTAGTTAGTTTTTGTCAGGAGCAAGAAGTAAACTGATTTGGTAGTTACTGAGTTCAGTGAACAGCTTCTTTTAAATAAAGCTGCAGTTGTTCTTGTTCAGGTCGTAACGAGCGTAGAACTTCAGATAAGTGATATATTGGTTAATACAAGTTCAAATAATACTGTTTGTTGTTTACGAAAATGAGAGGATGAAAAGCGAATGTGCGGTGCTTTAACCGGATTCCAAACCAATGGTGCACATGGGCTCCAGTATCCTGCGGGAACAAATGGCGTATGAACCAATTGTTGGTCACCGGCTTCCATGGGACTGCATCTCCTCACGATGCTCCACTGCCTTGTAGATCAGACCTCCAGGTCGAAGGCTCGGGGAGTGGCCCCCTAAGAAAACCACCTGCTTCGGTTTGGGCACCCGGGCAGTATCACAGCCCTCACACATATCGAATGAGATTTGTGTGGCTTATATGTATTTGGTGCCTCCTTGTACCAATGTCTATGTGTTAAAATAAATTAATTAATTAAGTAATTGTGTTTTACTGACAGGCTATTTGATGAATAGCCTGTACTAATAACAGTTAGGTTTTGACTATCTTAGGAGCTTGTTATACTTCTGTGTATGCTTTTTTCAGTCGTCCGTTGAAGAAGCACCTGAGGCAAATTCCCCCACATCTGACAAGAATCAGTTATCTGCAAGGTAATGTTTTTGCTGTTACAGTCTTTTTTATATTACAACCCACAAATAACCACCTATAAAGTTATTACGATTTTTCTTTTTCTTTTCACTGTTGGATAATGTTTTTGTCAGTCGGTTGTCTATTCGATGAGTATTTCCTCATGAGTTTTTCAGTCCCAGATATTAAGAAAAGGAGCCTTAGCACCTTCTGCTGAACAAATTATTGGGGTTTATATCCATATTAGTAACTAGATATCTTTCTGTTGATCTATTTGGTACCACAAAGATACTATTCTGTGCATTTCACTAGAGAAATTCTTTTCATTTGTTTCCTACAACTTGATTGAGCCTAAACAAAATCTTTATCTTTATTAATCATGATCGCAAATGTCCCATGAACTTTCAGTCAAAAAGACTGGTTTTCTAATTATATCAGCTTCTGAACTACAAAAATATTATGTTATTCAGTAAACGTATATGAAGTATAATAATGTAACCTCAATAAGTGTAACAAATGCAAAAATAACTTAATGTTGGTTAGTAGAGAAAGCCTACGTCGTCGCTCGGACTTCATTTGTATATTTACTGAACAGAATCCATCGAGTCCTTAAAAGATTTCTCTAAGGGTCTCTGATGGTTTCTTTTTCTAGTCCTTTAGGTGTGGTTTTCTAAGGCAGATGAAATGTACTTAAATACTCTTCTGACAGTCATGTTTTGTTATCATGTTTAGTGTGACCTTCATGACTTATTTCCCACAATTTAACTCTAAACTATTTAAGTCTTCATGCCATATGCATTCAACCGGCCACTTCTACCTTTCCGATCATATATAAAACTAACTTTATGATATATAACAAAAAGTATCACGGTAATATATATCTTAGAAGACTGTACAACTTATTTAATAAATTAACTAAGAATATCCACATATATGATGCTTTAGCCCACTAGAAGAACTATTTTCATCAACAGAAAAGTATACACAAATAAAGGTTTATATTCTTTTACATGGCTAATTTTATTATTAAAAGAAGTAAACCAACAAAATCTTTCAGGTTAGTTTCTTATTTTTAATACTTCCAGAAACTGAGCTTCATATATCGGATTTCTATTATATGCCATTTGTCTTCGAAAAAAACTCATTTTAGCTACTAGGGCTTACAAAATAAACAAAGCAAGTTAGATGACGAGTCAACATCCACGTTCAATTCCCTCTTTTGTATTTTCCAAACTATGTAAAAAAGTTTTTACCATTTCTAAAATGACTTATTTTTTCATTAAGATATATCATAAAATCCAATTTAGTTTTCGTAGACATACCAAAATTACAAATTTCGTATTGTTACCAAGTCAAAATAAATTAAGAAGAGTACATTTCGGAGCTGTTTAGTACAAATAAGTAAGGCGATAACAAGAAGTCTCAAGGCAATGGTTTTTTATTTTTCCATAATTCCTTTAAACTTAGATAAAATATTTTTATTCACCAACTACTATATAGTATTCTTGTGTACTCTAAATTGAATAGGTTTTATCATTACTACACCAAGTTATCAGTATCTACTTAACAGAAATGTCAATTTTAAAACTATTCTATAAGTGTCACAGCAGAAACTATGTAATAACACTATTGAAAAGAGTCAAAACTCACAGTAACACTAAAAAAATTAGTTATCCACGTATGATAATGTTAGCCGGGCACAGATCGGATTAAAACACGATTGTGTTGCTGCATGTTGATTGGCTATTTCTTATCCAATCAGCGCCAGTTGATACTTGTGGAAGACTAGAATCTTATGTAAAAAATATAAATATACTAACGTTTCTCTTATTGTGCTTCTTACTTCCATCTACCCTTGTTATTTACAATATAATTTCGTTCCAGTTCAACCATGTTCTGATTTGGGGACTTGTCGAGTGAATTGATGTCCAAGAATACTAAGTATCAGGAATAGCTGGGTCGTAATAAGAGAAATTATAAAAGCTAATCCTAAAATTTTTCTCTTTCATTTAAAATAGACACTCAGTCTTCTACAAAATGACACTAAGAGTTTGTCAGTTTAACTACGAAAGTCAATGAACACAATGAAGGACCTGACGCATGTGTTGCGGTTCGAGTTGTCATACCATATTGGCACATTAGCATAAAATTATTTAAATAAAAACCCCAGAGTAGTAGAAGTAGTAACAGTATCAGTAGTATTAGAAAAGATTAGGTATAGAAAGATGGGATTTTGGGACTCCATGGAGAACAAAATACTATCAAAGATTTACTCACTTAGAGCTAAATACTTATGCAAAGTGAGCTTTTTGAAAACTCTATCGTATATTCAATTTTATTTCAAGATAAAAACAATTACATTTCTAGGTTATCATTTACAAGGCCAGAAAATAAAATACATTTATCCTCAAATATCAATTTTATTGTCATTTAATCATATGACGTAAAACAGAAACTTAATAATCTTTCATCACTAACAGGTCACTTCATTTAATAATTTTTAAAAGTTCACAATCAAAATTATCTAGTGATTACAACATAAAACTGTCATGTGTTAGTTATTTATCTACGTGCTATAAGTTTTGATTATTGAACAACTACGTATGTATGTACCACTTGACTTCTAAAATATTGTTAAATTTCATATTACCATCAAGTAATATTGTCTAAAAAGTGATTTAATTAATAGTCTATAAGTGTGTATGGGAAGTGATATCTTTGAAAATTTTTATAAAAATAATTTCTCTTTTAATGACATGTTATGTTCCTCAAACACTATAGTCGATGCTTTTTTATGATTTTATTAGAACTCCCGTTGTAAAAGACTACATTAGAGTAGACTAAAGAATGACCGCTGTGCAAACCATATAGGTAATAAAAAAACACTTCCTCTCATAATTCAATTTACAAACTGATTTGTTGATTTATTAAAGTTGTTTACATAGATTAATGCAACATTCTCTATTCAGTTACTTTTTAATTTTGTTTAGTTTGTGTTTATATCGTTCTATAGTTATGCTATTCCGAATAAATTCTGGGAATTAATGGAACCATATTGTGCTGAAATAACGGAGGCGAATGTCAGTTACTTAGAAAGCCTTATCCGATCATATCAGCATTTGGAATCAATTTACTTTCATTTGCCTGTACTCAAACAAAGTGAATCGTGTAAAAATGAAACCAGCGAAGCACCAGGTAAGCCTTATCTGTTGATATAAACTATTCCCTTTATTATTCAATTAGTTTTATTTTTAATATTTTCTTTTCTAATTATCAATCTATGCACATTTCACTTATTGTTCATCTGACATTCTTATTATATAGTTGTTTCATCTTAGGTGATTATACTCATTTGATATTTGTAAAGAACCGACTAATTTAAAGATGATATCGGCCATTAAATGAGGTTATGACAAAACATTCACTCATTTTTTAAAGTGCAAAGGTTCATGTACTTGGCTTTAACTTAGTCTAAGGGAAAGTGTGAGACTACTCGACAGCTCAAATGAGAGTTATTCTAAGAGCGAAGAGGTTGTGGTAAAAAGCCATTGAAATACACACAACCATGATTAACTGCTTTCTTCTAGTCCGAGAATATTCAGTAATTTAAATCCAATCCGGCAGTTAGATTCCATATTTCACAGTATATTTACCTATTACTACTCCAGCATTATGAATTTATATAGTTAACACTTTTCAAGTTGGAAAGTATATAGTACAGTAATTATCCTCCATAATTATCAATGAATGACTTTTTGCTATCAAGTTGTCTGGTATTTAGATTGATTACGTCATAAAGTGAACATCTCATGGGCACATTTTCCTTTCTTTTTATTATGAACTGTATTAATTCAGTAGTACTTAATACTTAGTAGCCGAGTATTTTAAATTGCCTGTGATATTATCTTATCATGTCCATATAATCCGAATAGTATATACTAGGAATTACACTATCCTACGAAACTAGTAGTTAAATCACATTGGCGTCATTATATTTTTGTCTTCTATTTCCAACATAACATAATTCTAATTTGTTTTTCTTATCAGCTTGCAAAAGACTTAGACGTGGTTCTTCTCAAATTTTTCAACAGGCCACTACAGACGAATCATTGTGTTCATTGAATAACTGTAATTCGTCCATGTCCTCATCTCAATTGCTCAATGTAACCAAATACTTGGAAACAGAGCTCAAGTAAGTGTAACACAAATGAAAGTAGATAGATTATTGGTTCTCTTATATAATTGGCGTTGTGATCCGATGTTTAGATGTATACATGCCTACTGTTAAAACAGTCACTTATTCAATAGTTGATCACCAGCGACTCCTTTTTTACTTGTAAGCCGAAGTTACTAATACTTTAATTCAGTCATATATTGACAATATTTTTTCTGGAGAAATAATCTTGTTTAGACTTTTTAGTCGAATTCTCATTGATTATTAAACATTTTGTGGACTCCTGTCAAGATTCATCACTGAATGATTATCCACTCTAATTTTTTTTACGTGAATTAATACGCTTGAAGAAAAGTACAAAAAAAATAGAATCTAACCGAAATTATAAGTTTTTCGGTTTCAGTAGCAAAGCAGTAACGTGACTTCGCAACTAATTGAAGTAATTGTCTCATACAGCTGTCATACACAGAGCCATTCAGTCTTTGTTTCCTCAGTTTTTTTTTATTTCTTTTGACCAATAATTTCCATGTTTAATATTATACTGCCAACTATATTATTATTAGTATTATTATTACTGTCACTATAATTATTATCATTTCAACTCTTTTACGCTTCACTTTATTTACTCCAACCCTTATCGTGCTTATGTGAAGTATATATTTGTATCAGGTTTTAAGTAGTCCATAACTGGCCAACTGATCATCAGTTTAATTGTACCGAAACTAAAGGTTATCCTGGTGATTATCTCCAGGATTGCAATTCATTCAATATGTAAATGCCAATTACATATTGACCTTCTCTGAACAATCGGATACCCAATTGTTCACATTTTTTACCTACGTCTATTCGCCGTTTAAAGCGATCCTCAAACAATGCCATTGTTAAGTTCTTTCCGTACTCTTAGGTCGGTTAAGGAAAGAAGTCCTAAACTAAAGGGAAGCAGCTGTCCAGCGCTCCTTGGTCTCCTTCCACTGATAAGAAGTCTCCAAAAACACCACACAAACAAGTTAATGCTCTTTGCTATATCCATAAATCAAAGTCAGAGTTTCGACTTTTTTCGATATACAAACAAGCTTCTTATTCTCCCATATGTTTGTTGTTCTTGAGGGACTTATTTCAATATTCATTAGTCCCTTGATATATAACTTGTAATTACTATCTTTTTCAATCATTTATCATATATGATCGATAAATCGTATAATTATCTTTGCTTATTGGACTTTATCACTCATTTCAGAAAACCAGTCCCTGAATCTTCCATGTTAAGTAAAATATCTCAATCCCTTTTGGAATCTTGTTATCAAGACGATATACTGTCAAATTTTAGTGGAAAATTAAATTTTACAACAAATCAAGGTAGGTATCTATTTTTTACATTTCTAATTAATTTCAATTATTCGCTTGTAAAATACTCTTCGTCAAATTCGCCTAGTATTAATAATAGATCTTATGAGCAACAAATATTTAATAAGCAAAAGTATAGTTTAAGGACTAAACAATCAGAACCAATATAGGGAGTGTTGGGGTTTTGTGCAAAATTCAGGAATAGGTGACATTTATCTCATATCACGTGAAATAAGATCAGTAGAAATACACTTATGTATAGTATTCAGAACATTTAAAGTCATGAGGGAAAACTATTTCCTATAATAAATGTGATGATGTTAAACATAGTAAATGTTCAGTGTTTTCTATGTACGCAATACAGTACATGGAAATTATTCCTATAACCTAATCTTAACCTTAAATTTCGAAATCCTAACCAGTGACTGTATAAACCCTTAAAAATTTGTTTGTATCCCCATAAAAGTTCATATAAACTCACCTTCTACACCCATGAAGAAGTATTTAGATGGGTTTTTTCAATTTATAGGCAGAACATCATATTAGCAAACTTTGATGTATGCATTAATTATTTAAAATCTGTGTACTTTTTGCAATATTATTGTTCTGATTACCATTCCCCAAATCTATTTTCTGATTAGTTAGCAGTTGGCTACAATTCGTCGTGGTTGTTTTCAGCTCGTCTGTATAATATACGCGAGATAGGATATGTAACCGTAAATGTATGGAGCAACTGCTTCTCAATCTTCAGTATATGTGCAACGTTTAGCATTTTTTCCATTCATTTAATGAGTGGATACTTCATATAAGAGCATAATTTTTAAAAAGGATTTCGTTTCAAACTTTAAGTTTCACAATTTACTTGTTCAATCCAGCAAGCTCGAGTATGCTACGGCATCGTGTTCACATAAGTCGATATCTCTAAATGATTAAAATGAAGTTCTTAGTAAAAACTACAATTTTATATCTAGCAGTGACATACCAAACGAATAGAAAAGTACTCGAAAACGCTAGATATCTTGTTTTTATTGAATATTGAAAAAGGACGGTTGTCCTCACACATGTTTTAACTGCTTAAATGATATTACTAGTAAGGAAATAGACATTTTTAACTGAACCATTATAGAATGTCACTGTTTATATATTAGCTTTGACTGTTCTGTTACTGTGTGTGTGTGTGATACATATCAATATTTTATCATTTCTTACCTCATTTCAATTTTGTGCAACTTTGGTAATATGAAGTGGGTTTAGATAAGCCCCATACAAAAAATATTTCTTGCCAGCGTGTCACATAAACCTGTATTTAGTTTGATAAAATGATTTTACGGAAAATTAATTTAAACAAAACACCATCTCATTTTTGTTTAATTGTACTCATTGACTGAACTACCGTTTGTAAAGGCTTTGTTTAAAAAGTAGCCGTAATAACAAACAGACAATTTTCTCAAATTTTTGTTCAGTGTATATTTTAGCATGCTGATTATCCGATAACCATTCGATGTCTGACTAGTTTTTCCACTTTTACAATAGCTAATAACACTTATCACAGTGGTACGTAACAACAATTATAATCAAAACCATTATAAAAACCGATTTTTAGTAATTGGTAATCTCAGTCACTATCTGGGAAGTCAATAACAATATTTTTGGCAGATGCCTTTTTTATTTAAACACATAAACGTTGGTACAATGTGGCACCAAATATACATGCGCCACACTTCGTCATCTGATTTATGTGAGGACTGGAAAACTGCTTGAGTGCCCAAACCGAAGCAGGTGGTCTTCTCAGAAGGCCACCCCCAAGCCATTGACCTAGAAGTCTTATCCACAAGACAGTGGAGAGATGCAGTCCCACGGTAGCCAGTGACCAACAATAGGTTGGTGCACCATCTGTTCCCTCAGGATCCTGAAGCGTATGTGCACTATTGGTTTGGAACCAGGGTTTTCTTGCTCTTCTAAGTGGTTCCTTTGTATCCACCATCTTGGTTAAAGCGTCGGACATTCGCCTTTCGTCCTCTGAATCTCGTAGACAAGACCCCACGACGAGAAGTGAGTGAGTAGGATTTCCCTGAGTGTTTGTATACATGTGGTCATGTGAGAGCGTTTCGAGAGGGAAAGCAGACTCTACCTACCATCGACCATACCAGAGCATTTGGGGGCCATGGAGGTGGTTAGTTAGGTCTTAGTGAACATTTTTTTCTTAATAAAATAGAGATGTATACGTAAATGTTTCAAGTGATATAACTTTTTCGAGCAACAAAATAAGTCTCAGAGGTATAAACTATCACTGAGCAATAAAATTACCTCTCATCTTTTTGTTTAGTATTAACTCAATGTATTCAGATCTTTGTTGTTGTGCATTTAAAGCATTTCTGCGACTGCGATAGTCACAAAATTATTTTCATATAGGAGGTACAAGTAGAATTAATTAGTATATTATTGAATAAATTATCTGATATTTTGTTAAGCTCTTCATGTGTACATTTTCTTATTCTACTGTTCACCTGAGTATATGTAAATAAATAGTTTTAATCAATCACTGTTATTCTCAGTGATATCAGATTCTGAAAAGCTTTTGCCATAATTTCTTCATTTTTTTTCTATTGAACAGTAAAAGATAATGAAGTTGAAGATAATCAATCAGGATGTACTGATCCTAGTAGTTCCGATTATGGGACTACATCATCTGAAGCTCTCCATGTCAACAGATACAACAATAACACCAATTCGTCAAACACATTGATAAATTCACAAGTGACGAATTATCCGTCATCAGGATCTACGATAACAAATCACAATTTCTTAATCGATCCACACTTGCTTACTTCACGCGCTAGTGAACCACTTAAAAGTATAGCTAAACAACTACGTGTCAGTTCATCATATCGAGTAGAAAAAAAGATTGCACAGGCGATTGATGAACTGGGCTTGTTTCCCCTTAGTGTTTTACATCCAAAAGTTTCACCTTTGGTTGAATCTAAAGAAGATTGCAATCCTCACAATCTATCTTCCGGCGCAGTATGTCATGATACTGTTTCTCATTCAACAAAGTTAATTATCCGAAAAAATAAAATTACTTCATCAAATTCAGTGAAATCAAGTCCATTGAAACATTCAGATGAAGTTCAAGATACTCTTGAGAAAAATCATGTTTTCAAAAAACGTCGAGTGAATAACGACAAATCATTATCTCCTTTACCTGAACATCACAGTATGTGTTTCTCATTATATTTGCCTTTAAAAATATATCGTCTTTGCGTTTGCATTTATCCTCCGACATCTCGATTTTAATTTCCCCTAGTATTACGTATAACAAGTAGTGTTTTTGACATTCCATTTTATTTTTAGTTATCACTTTGTGTCTACTGACAAGTAACATAAATTTTATGCAAAACTTTTAACTACAAACTAGAACACCCAAAGCAGGTTGAACCATATGATTTACATGTTCAGTTGTATTAAGAAAGCAATTCTTTTCATTATAACTATGAGATAATTACATGTAAACATTTGTCAAGAAGCTTTAACGAAGTTAATGTGCCCAACCGAACTGGAGAAATTGAAATCGCACACTGAAATTATTCATAACCTTCTTCCTTTCCATAGTTATACGGCAATGAAGACGTGAGTTGAAAGACGGTTTTATAAGGCTGAAATATTTAGATGCATCATAACTTCTCTGTTCGAGGTCGTAGGGATTGTGAAATTTGGTGACTTGAGCTGTTATCAGATATGCCTCGGAATAAAAGCCATCGGCGATCCTGTTATAGTCTTCTACTACTCTTTATAAACTAAGATAGATTCCACCAACTGAAATCTTTCCTGGTTGTGTTTTTAACCTCATTGTATCTCTAATTAAACACAGTTTTCACTGATTTCCTTATCGAATGTATTACGCTTTCACCCATCTTATTACAATATCATCGCTTCATTTCTGTAGCGCGTTTTTTCGGTGACTTATTGTCCCAGGATTCATATAATTAAGTAGGCAATAGGTGTTTTATATAGATTATGAAATTTGGAAAAATCAGTGTTATTGAATTCTCTAAGCCAGATGGTTTTCATTGTCTTTCTGCATAAAATCATCAATGCTTACTTCATGTAGAAGTGAGCTTCCTAGTTGTTCCATAAGCCTTAAATCGTTCTGTTTTGTTACCCTTGTTTGTGATTAATTTTCGTCATAGGTTTCATTATTTTCATTTTTGTTTTGGGACGAGAAAAATCAACTTGAATATCAGAATAAATAAAAGTAATGAAACCTACGACGACAATCAATCTGAAACAAGATCAACAAAGCAAACCGATTTAAGTTTCAGAAAATAACTATTCAGCTCACTTCTACATGAAGTAAGCGCTCATGATGTGACAGTGAATGACTGTCATAATATGTCATATACTGATTAAAGTTGACAATGCCTGAAGATTCTAAGTTATGTTACTGGTGTCAGGGTCACAATTACACACTACTTTGTCGTCTCAAACTAGAACAAAATGACTGTGTAATCCCCTCTGATTTTTAATGGCTGTTTAGTTCATATCAGTTTGTGATAAAAATTCATTACAATCGTCACTTCTGTGCTACGATTATCTACCGTACTACCCTATGTTATTAATTTCATTCACCCATGCTATATATGTTTTCTTTCTAAAATCTGCCACCCCCCCTCCCACTATTAACAAATAATTTGACCGTATGCTATTTTCAATAATATGCATTCATTTGCAAAATGTTCTTTGATATGAACTGGTGCTCTTTTCTCGCTATCTATTCTCAATATAATTTTCTTTGTTTAGAAAATATAACATACAATTCATGGTTGAATTAATCGTTTTTATGTCTGTGTGTATGTGCAGGCATTGATCGCAACTTTAATTTATTAATGCTATCAAAGGGCATAGAGATTAAATCGTATTCACACAAATGCTATAGCACTTTATTTGTTTATAGAAATAGAATTTGATCTATTTAAATCAATATTTTATATTGTTCTCTTTGTTTTCAACCTATTGTTCACTATATTCGATTAACAAACACTAAAAAGTTGTCTTAATGTCTGTATTGCCTCACTTAGTTCTCGTTGTTTTTCACTCTCTCTCGCGTGCGCTTTCTCTGATTAACATTGTTACCATCATTTAAATAAATTCAACAATTCATTATTTATATTCACGTTTTTGGGTTTTGACAAGGTAGCATTTTGAATAACCTATCGAAAATAATGGGACACAAAATAACTATCATTTGTCAGATGGATTTTTCCAGTCAACCAATGTTGAATGAAGTTCGTGATCTAGCGTATATCTATAGCTGCATGTTCTATTAAAATACCAAATGATGAACAAATTAACCGCATATATAAAACAAAGGGTAGTGGTAGATGAATATAATTTATCGGATGGTTGTTTTTTGGCAAAAAATTTTTAATCCCGTTTTGTCCAATGAAATGATTAGTTTTAAAATGGTAATTATTGGTTAGTAATTTCCGAAAAGTGATATGAAACTTTAACATTCCTCGAGTGATCACCTTTTCTTCAAACTGTGAACGTAAATAACGTACAAAGCACTAGCTGTATTGTTTTTAACGTTATCAATAACGTTATCGATAACGTGTTCCTGGGTACGTTGCATCTGATAGCGTCTGTCAATGAACATTCAAGCACACATTTTCAAAAACAAATTAACCAATCACTTAATTTTTTAATCATACCCGGAAAATTTTGACCGCTAGTGTTCAGGAATCAATAAATGTCAGTCGTCATAGGCTGACCGTCAGTGGTGGAGTTTCGTTCTCTGAGTTGGATGGAGAACAAAACTACCAAAATCACCCACTTGTGCTACAAATTTTCTCCACTTCTGCCATTGGTTGTGTAACGTTTTCCGTTCATTGATATCACGAACCGATCCAAGTTATGTTTGGTCCACTTTATATGTAAACGGTTTCGTTAAAACTTTATTTAAAAAGTTACACTTTATTTACCCCATTAAATGTCGGATGCGTTATGCAACCACGGATGGATAACCTCTTAAACAATAAAGAATTAAAAATAAATTCTATCTATGGAAGTAAGAAGATACACATAACAAATTCTATCTCAAAAAGAATACGTGAAATTGAATGCTAAAATGACAGGAAATTAGATTAAGCTTAAATTAAAAGAAATCAACATATAACTGCTTTTCTGTAACAATTTTACCCGTGTGAACCTCAACTAAATAATACCTCCGAGCATACAACTCAGTAATATTTACTTTTGAATGAGACCTATTTCACATTGTTCATAAGTTTAGATTGATACTTAACTGCAGTATACATCAAATCGTTCAAAATCTTATGTCTTGTATCTTTCTAAAGAGAACCCAAATAACGTAAGAGATAAAAATTTGTTATCTGAAATGGATTCCCTTCCATAACAATAGAGAAAGGTTCTCTTTTATTCATCGATAAAAAATTTCATACTACTACCCTTTCTCATTTCGAGATAAGATCCATCTTCATATAAATTTGGTTCATAAATCATCATTGTTTGATGACTTTCATGAATTATCATCATTTATTTAAATGTACCCATACCCAGTTGTTTTGCTTAAACAACCTGGTCATGAGTCCACTACAGCTGGAGCTTATTCATCATTAATCTTCATACGAAAGTTTTTGGTCTATATATTTATGAAATGACTACACTTTGTTCCATCCACAACTGATTACATTGTTCTCTTCTTGCTCATAGAAAATACATCATGTGAACCAAATCCAACAGATATTGAACATTCCACGGAATTATCATTGTTACCTGTGAAAATAGAAAATATCAATCCGATTATCGATAACAATAATGATAATAATAATAATAATAATGGCCGAATTAAATCTACATGTTATTTAAAAAAATTAAAACGAAAGAATTTAAAAATGTCAAAATCGTTATGTTATAAAAATAAATTACGAAACACTGTGAATAGCAATAGTACACATAATGAAATTCTGTACAATGGAATAACTCCTAGTTTGGATGATTCAATTGAATCAAACAAATCGGTAATTTCTTACTAGTAATCATATATTGTGTCTATTATTGTGTTAATATTTTAATTTAATCACTGTTTTGATACACTGATTGATTCTATTGTAGTGAACGTGAACTCAGGTGGGAAAGACCACTTTGTTGTTTAATACAAAATTACAGAATGTCTTCGTGAAAACCATACATCACAAATACTTCATTTGTACAATTCCCATCAATTGTCTCTGACAAAAGTCATCGTTCTTTCATTCCTGTTGTTATTAAAAATACTCTTTGTTTACATTCCTGTTCTCTTTACTTCAATCTTCTCAATCCTTTGCTGCTAGATATTTCGCTTCTGATTAGTGTTACATACCACTTATGTTGAAAGACATAAGTAGCATACACCACTATATTAACTAACTAATTACGGTCAAAAACGGTAAATAACCTCGGTAATTTGACATTTCTAAATTAGGAACTACACAATGTATTTATTTATTTATTTGTTTATTTATTTACTTATTTGAACACATAAATATTGGTACAAGAGGGCACCAAATATATATGCGCCACACTTTTGTTTGTGGGCCGTGATACTGCCCGGGTGCCCAGACCGAAACAGGTGGTTTTCTTAGGGGGCCACACCCCGAGCTTTGGACCTAAAGATCTGACCCATAAGACAGTGAAGCATCGTAAGGAGATGCAGTCCCATGGAAGCCGGTGACCGACAATTGGTTCATACGCCATTTGTTCCCTCAGGATACTGGAGCCCATGTGCACCATTGGTTTGGAATCCGGTTAAAGCACTGGACATTCGCTTTTCGTCTTCTCATTTTCGTAAACAACACTCCTGCCACGAGAAGGCAGTGAGTAGGACTTCCCTGGCAGAGGCTGTATACGCGTGGCCATGTGAGAGCATTTCGAGAGGGAGAGCGGGCCCACCCCACTCTCGTCCGTACCAGGGCATTTGGGGGCATGTTCACTGTAGTCTTGGGTACGTCTGCATATATAGGTAGACCAACGTGCTATCGCGACTGAGATGATAGTAGAGTCTGAGGTCCCAAGAGATGCTGAGGTCGAAGTGTGACTATGATTTATGAAGACAAATCAACTGTAGCAACTCAAATGCCTTTGTTCCTTCCCCTCATTTAAATGTTGAGGATCCTATCACCGTATTTTTATTTATTGCCTCCTTTTCCTGTTCTTGTTTTCATCATTGTTCATCAACATCATGATTTACTAGTGCTACTTTTCCTCGTCAAATCATTTGTGTTAACTACAATACTCACCTTTTTTTATAATACCTCCATATAAAAGGTAATTTGCCACGAATGACCAATTTATGTGTGTCCATGATACCTATTCACTTGTTCCACGGGAGCGGTTGATTTTATCGAGGCCACTCTTTTGTTTTCCCTAAGACTTGTATTTTGTTAAATACTGTGAATATGATCTTGATTTCCTCCATGAAGAGTATTTTGTAAATTTATAAATGTTATGAACAATCGGTCCCTTCAGTAAGTATCCATCTATTCATATATTGTATGTGAATTACTCTGAATAACACATTTTTCAATAATATTCTCACACCTATATTGTTTTGTTTTTTTATTAAATTTAAGGATTGCATTCCTAACTCTCATCCTGATCCAAATCTTCCTACCATCGACACTGAATATTTCAGTGACCTAGATAATCCTCCAGGAAAACACGATCCACATATTAATGTCAGTCCACGCAGTCGTAATGGTTTCACTACTCAACTGTCGACGGAAAATGAAAAGCGACCAATTGATCCAACAAGTCCTAAACAAATCCAACATTCTCTAAGGCATAATCGTTTTTCACCGAACAATTTATCTGGATCTCATTGTAATACGGACAGTAATCCTCTATATGGGTCGTTAGAAAATCATGAACCAGTTCTTGTAAATGGTGATTTATCACTATCTGAATTTCACAGTGAAAAATTGACGGAAAATGATAGATTAGGTGATAAACCGAATTCGAATTGTAATACTTTTGAGGGGGATTGTGAAACAGCTCAGGTAAATTCTTCCTATCATTTAAGTTGACTTTCTTAAATATGAGAAACCTGTTTCAATTGCCTTAACCAAACATGGAAAAATAATCACTACATGAACTTAAGCATGGTTGATTTTAATAATAACAAAACGTTGTATAGTCTACATGATTAATCACTGAGTTACTGGGCAGCGTCAAGTCTCATCTCTTAATGTTGCTTGAAGTTTACTGATGACTCAGACTATTAATTTAGGTGATCTAGGTTTAAATCCCATGCGGAATATCGGTTTCCCCAAGATTACAGCAATTCTTTACTGAGCACAAGACATAGTTCTGGAGTTTCGTACTGATTAAGCCCAACCACCTAACACATTGTCTAACTTTACTTAAAATAGAGAAAAGTAATCATTTTATCGCTATGCTTACGCTGTAACAGTTAATTAAAATGTTTCCAAACACCAGGTCAATATCTTGAAAAATCAGATCCAAGGGATTTTATAGCAATAATTAAATACAAAATAAGAGACGAGACTCAGTGATCAGTACTTATATTAGGCAACCTAAATGATGACTGGTCTTCCATTGATTGTAAAATAACAGTCGGTCATTTAATAAAAGACATTCAAACTTAGATTACACCCGATCGTAGCAATACATTTCCATTTATGAAAATAAATTGTTTTCAATAAAATTTATAAAGGTGGCTTGCAGTGAAAACCAGTTTGCGTGTTCCGTCTCAATTGAGGCTCGTTAGCTGGATATATCTGCATCCCAGAATTGATGCTCATTGACCGATTCCAGTCCTCAACAGCAATAGGAAGTTTCGAGCAGCCAATACAAATGAATTAAAAATATGTATAACTAGACATTTGCTATTGTTAACATGTATGCTCTAATCCAAACTACTAAGAATAGCTGATTCCTTACTACCACTATGCCGATTTACTTTCACTTACATGTCTTTTGTGTTTTTCTGCTCATTTAAATCCTAATAAGTTTAGGTTGTACTTTGGAATTAACCTTGGTTATATAGACAGTCATTGGAAACCAAGAAGCACTTGACATCTATTTCGTCCTAGAATGCGACTCCCCGGAAGCGTGTACCCACAAACCCATTATATTAATAATAATCCTGTGATTAGCAGTGACAAATTTCGAGAAGTCCAACCATATTGGATGTTTGGTAACTATCCATCTATCATACTGTAAGGTGGTTGTGCATCATGTCAAATTAATTGCAATAAAAAATGTAAAACATCGATTACTAACCCACTCGCCTTAAGGTTAAGCGCTTATCCTGAGATCTGGAGGTCCTGGGGTTGTGGATGGGCGCTGTTCAGGAGTCCCACACTAGGACAAAACAACTATTCTATCGTCCCTTTATCTAATGCTTGTCTGACAGATTTCAGTTCGTAACATAAACCATTCATCCCACTTTAGTTGATTATATATTGGAATAATGGTTCACCGAAGAGCAATTCAATATGAGCATTTCATTCTATTCGAGATTTGTCATTCGAATTTAGCTGAGTCATATTGTTAATATTCTTGTTGGATGAAACTGGCTTTATTCTACTTCATTTCATGAAAGCCATTAACATTTAGTTAGTTTAAGTATCAAACCTTCCTTAACCTTTATAGCACATCGTTTTTGTCATGATAACTTCTACTGTATCTATAAAACACTTTCCAAATTCGTGGTTGACATCTACATAAATTCATTTAATATTACTTTAAAATGTTTATGAAATACTTTTTAATTAGATAAAAATTTTATTCTAAATTTTCCTCAAGGTATTAGATTCCAACTTACACAGTTCCTTGAACCAAAATAATGAACAATTTACTTCTCCACTTCAAAATGGTCAACTCAAATTCAAAATAGATACCAACTGGACAGAAAGGACAAATAAAACAAATGATTTAACAGGGAAATGTAGTCATGAAGCTTCTCCTATAATCCAGCATAACGATTCAAAGTCACCAGACTGTGGTATCAACACAGTGATTCAAAATCATATGTTCTTTAGTCAAGATACTCCATCAACAGCAACTACACAGTATGGATCTGGTGCTGTTGATGATATTGGCTGGGCTATTGTTCAACGTCAACGGGAGTTGAGATTGTTATGCACGGCAAACCATCGAATGCTTCGACGACTCGTACAGGCAGCTAGAAGAGATATGCAACGCCAAGAAATACAAAGGCGTCTAGCGATTGCAGACGCTGATGTAAGTTCAAAGCTGTTAGTTTTTTTATAGTAAGTTTTGATCATAATTTTGTTTTAGATCACATGATTCCGGTGCTCACTTGACTAGTTGATTTGCCCAAGAAGATATCAAGTCAATGAATCGAATTTATTCGATAAAGTTTACAAGACTAATGAAATTGTGTACACCTTCATGTATACGATTACATTGGTTTCATTTACAAGTTTCAACAAAACAATAACGACAATATTTATAAAGTTTTCATATTACACCGTCTTTTCGACCCGAAATCATGACAAAAGAATATTATGATCCACTGCTGAACCTGCAAAATGACGACACTAAGTATTATCGTTCTTTCCTTGTTTAAGATTTTGCGTATATATTATGTTCATACAACGGACGACCTATCAAAAGTTACTATAATAACAATTAAGTCAGAAAAAGCCACAAAACACTCTGGTACGCTCGACGGTGGAAAGAGCCCTCTTGTCCTCTCCAAATTTTCTCTTATGGTCATGAGTATGTAGTCTCTCCCATGGAAGTCCTACTTACTCCTCGTGGCGTGAGTGTTTACGAAATTAAGAGGACGAAAAGCTTGAGCAAGGTTGGTAGGTACGGAGGATCCGCCTATGGAAGTTGGAAATTCTTGAATCCAAACCATTGGTCCACTGGGCTTCTGGATCTTGAGGAACAAATGGTGTATGAGCTTACGTATTTAGTGGTCAGTAGGCTGTGTCTGTTTCTTCACACTCAGTGGAAAATCATATTTCATTTTTACTACCACATATCAGTAATCCAATAAACGAGTAAATACTGTTTGTAAATGACATGGTTAATACTTAAAAAATATTTTAACGAATAAGTGGAATAATCCATTTAGACACCATATCTCAACATCTCTATTAAAAGATACACAGTTTTCATGCTTGAGACTGCATAATCTAATAGATTATTTTTAAATTCCAGTAGTAGTGAGGATACGCACATACATTTACACATCTCTCTCTTCCTTTTATTTGAAGTGGTCGAGAAGCTTTGTAGCCCAGGTGGATGATTTAGGTGTAGTTTTTTTTTACTGAGTTCAAAGAAGTACTTGTACAATTTGTAATATTACTAATAAATTTGTAAATAAAATATTTCTTTTGTTTTAAATTATTCAGGTTATTGAAGCTTATAATAAACTAGAAAGTTATCGTCCACATCGTAAACCTCCATTGAAACGTGATCGTGATATATCATGGAAAGCATTGAAAGAACGTCGTAAAATACTCAAAGAATTAGAAGCTTTTGATGCTAAATCTCCTTAAAATTGTGATGATCAAATTAATTCAACCTATAATAGTTTAAATCCACTTTGTACATAATTTAAACTCTATGTTCATTCTTTATTGTTTCTTAAAAATAGAAATATTATTAATTGTAATATATTTTATTGCTTATCCTATCATATAGTAATTGGGAAAATGTGTTTTTTTTCCTTTAATGTTATGTAGAATCTCACATCAATATTAATAAATAGTTTTGTATACTTTAAAACAATTTGTTTTCTGTTCTTGTTTATTTTCTGCTTGGTTTCCACTTTTTCCAATCAATGCTTTATATAATTTTCTCATTGGTTTTTTGTATTCTTTATGTATGTATGTATGTATCTATTTTTTTACTCTTATGTAAGTTTTTTTGTTCTTCTTGTTGTACATAAATTTATCGGGTTTCTATTCAGTTCGTTTTTTCTACAATTAACTAACTGTATACCATGATGCTCAGCATTTTGTTCGATATCGTTTTATGAGTTCATTGTTTTCTTTAATGAAACAACAGTCTTTCTACAACCTTTACTATATATATAATGATTATTACTACTACCACATTTGTTTAATGTATTCATTTATTATAAGCAGTAGATTTCAAATATACTATCTACTGACTAAGCATTATTCTTTTTATCTGATTGTTGAAGTTATTATCGTTACACAATGTCATGTTCTACGTTGTGACTGACTGATACAGTATAATGTATATCAGCAATCAAATAATAACTGTGCTTTTCTTGTCTAACACATTGTTTTATTTGTCACATTGCTGAAGTGAATCATCCCAATTATCTGAGTTCAGATATCTTACGAAGATTAATCTAAGTTGTGGGTGGTTTCTTTTGTCAATAATCGATATCGGATTAGGATAGTATCAAACCTAAAGGCAACCACAGAATGATTGTTTCATTCCAATATGGAGTACGACTAAATCAGGATTAAGACAGTCTTTGTCATTGGAACTAGATGATTTCCGCGCTACATGGCGGATTAACTGAAGTTGGAAATGTGGAACACATGATTCCGATTCAGAATGGTCTATGAGTTAAGTGCTCACTACCAGACTTGAATATTGTGGGCGTGCACTACTTAAGTGGTCTGCGATGTGAAATGACTGTAGTCATTGAAATCTTACTTTTGGAAATGGCTTTTCTGGTTACCCTAATTAGGTTCAGTCTCTTACAACATGTCTCAATTTCACTACATTTGAATAAACACGGCTAATTCAAGCAAAAAACTATTTTCTCTAGTTAATGTGTTAGTTTATTCCCAAATTCATGAGGTAATTCTATTAATTAAATCTGAAATTTAATCTTATCTCTGTAATTCTGACATTCTGGTAATGGACTGATTTTTGAAACTTGTTATCTATTTTTTTATAGGTTTCAAATAAACTATGTAGATGTACTTACTCTAGGCATACATTGATTCTTCTTTGAGATTTAAAGCGTTTCAGTTCAGAAGATCAACTTAGCTCATCTATATCAGCAAAAATAGTTTGAGAATAAAGTAACTCATTCGTATTACTTGCTTCTCTTAGTGTGCTTTTTTGAAAAGAATCCCAGTGAGATCTAATTAGAATACGGTTAATCGACTGTTTGGTTTTAAGCCACATTGATAAGTGGTTTAACTGTTTGCTTACATGTAGTTTGGAATAGACATGTGTGGTTCTTTGCTTTCTCACAAAATCGGGTAGGAGTACCCGAGGATGAGTCAGGTATGTGAAATAGCAGCCTAATTCTTACAACGACTTCAAACCGATTGGTTGCAGGTTCGAACCTCCTCCACCAACTTAGGTTTAAACAACCGTGTAGTATTACTAGCCTTCACACTAACAATGTAATTCAGGACTGAGTACATAGACTTGTCTTTAGTAAACGAATAATATGAATGATATATAGGACGTCCATCTTCATATAGAAACTTAGAAAACATCGACTAAATAAAACCCATGATTCTGACTGTGGATTTCAAAAACCTGGAATGGCTATCGAGTATTAGAGAATTGTGAATATTAGTGCTCCATCACCTAATGAATCAGGTCTGTAAAGATCTGAAGTTAGTCGCTAACCAAAACATTGCTTTTATTTCAGCATCAGAAGAATATTTCAATCGTCAGAAACTCCATATACAGATAATTAAACCGATAAAAATACATTACAATTTGAATGATAATGTAAAATTAGTCTACAGTATAGCTTAAAAGATAGTATTGGATGGTTGAGTATAGTACCCTGATTATGATACTTGTCTTTTGGTTCAGTAAGCTTATATATGTTGTCTTAGAGATTTTTGTGGATGGTTGTTCATTTTTTTTATTGATAGTATAACCACAAACGTTATTGTCCATTCAATACACTCGATTAAATCCTCACTAATAATTGCTTAGGTAAGGCTAAACCACAGTAAGAGTTGAGTGTCATAAAACTCGTTTTTGTTTTTGTCCAACACTGAAACAATAGCTTTTAATCAAAACTGCGCTGCTAAAACAATGACTAGCTAGAGACTGAATTTTCATACTAAACACTTGGACAGTTAATAAGGAATTATTCGTCTCTCCTTAGATAACAGATCATAATCTGCAGTTTTGAATGTCTGCAAAATTTCCGTCCTAAATTTTTCGATATAAACAGTATGACTACATCTGGTTTTACAAATCATAGTTAAATTTGAACTCAACTACTTTTCCATTTAAATATCCGCTCCAACATCAGTTGTAATTACTGTACACCATAAAAGTTATCAATAAAACACTGAAGATACCGGTCAATGTTTGTACTTATTTCCTTTCGTTATGAAATATTTCTAAAAACCTTTAAGGACTAAGTTTTGAAAGATTTCGTGTTGTATCCATCATGTTTAGTTGCCTCGCATGTAAATACTTTTTTAATTTTTGTTTCGAAATTACTTTTTAACTTATGTTATCTTAATTAGTTCAAATTCGTGAATGAGAATTTAATAAGTTCATTTTATACTCTCAATTATGGTTGTTTATTCGACTTCAAATGCAATAAAAACAGTTGCTTATCCTAGAATTGAAGAATATTCTAAATAAGTAATTTGTTCTTATTCATCAATAACATAATAAATATAGTCTGGTAAATTTTACCAGGTTATTTCGATAGGTGTGATAAGCTTTTATGTATGGAACAACTGAATATTTCCGAATTAATTTCAACATTAATAAAAGGATAGTTTGATTTTTAAAATCTTTGACTTTCAGTCATTAGATCAGAAAGTTGAACTTATCTCCTCTACTTCATTTTGGGGAGGCATCGCATAACAAAAATTATACTAAAACCCGAATACATAAACTTCTACTTGATAAATGAGTTAATTTACATTGCTTACAGGAGTTTTATAACCAACAATTGATTATTTATTACTCTCAATCATCATCCAACTTATACATGAGTAGATGCATATCATGAGAAACTTGAATTTTTCGATCCAATTAGTAATATTTTTGTTTTATCAAACTTTGTAACTGGCCTATCCATCAAGCCAAAACGAGGATGGAGTTTAAGATTACTAGTTTCTTCAGTGTCACTAAGAAATAAATCTAAGAATATTTGCGTTAATTCGAGCCAATTATTTAGAAATCTTAAAAGTATGCTTATAACTATCTTGTAATCTCCTTACATTCGATTGTTTATCGTATGTTTCATTTTAAATTTTCAGTTATACTATTTATAGCTACCTATTTTAAGTGACTGTCCTTCTTAATTCTTTTTCCGAATACTGTAAATCAGCAGTTTACAAGAAACTCTTCTCGTCTCTTGAATAAGAGATTTTTATGGAATGTATATGCATTCCAACCATTTGTTGCACCACAAAGCAACTATTCATCAAATCAGTCGAATAGACAGAATCAACACAGTGATACTCATCAAACAAGTCTATTTTTCAAATCAATTTTGTTGACCACAGCTCTTGCAAAAATTTGTCACGACAATGAGGATTCAAATGATGCTCAACAAAAATCTCATCCTGTATATAGTACTCCGTTAGTTGTAAAATGTGCAGAAATTGCAAAACCAATGTCTAAAGATAGACAAGCTGCAATTAAGGCTCTAGACGTGGTTGCCGATGTTGCTCAAGATGTTCAACCAGCAGTTGTTTCAATCACTAGTACCGAGTTAGTTTATTAGTTATTATTGTTAACTATTATGCTATATATTGAATAACTATAATCAATATCAACTTATCAGTTTTAATTATTAATTCTTATTAATCTTAAATCTTCTGTGTCGTTTAATCGAAACCACTAGATAAGATTTTAATAATGTGAATACAATCTATAATCAGCTAATCTGAGTATACTTTGCACCTATAGGTCAACAGTTGTAGTTTTGACCAGTAATAATATATTCTGATCGTTAACAACTAACTTTGAGTAGTGACCGAGGACATTTTTAAAGCTTTTCGGTCCAAGATGCATGCTTCTCTGTAGCTCGGTATTCACTCAGATCCAGAGACAGAGGAAGCAGACAAAACTCCTATTATATTATACTTCAAACACAAGTTTATTTATGTATAAACTAGGAGACTGTAACACACATCAAATAAAGAATCATTAAGTCAGATGGTAAGCAAACTAAACAATACGGGAATAAGTAATCGTCGATAATTTATAATTATACTTACCCTTACTTACACCTGTTTCTCCCAATGGAACATAGGCCACCGACCACCATTCTCCAACCCACTCTGTCCTGAGCCTTCGTTTCCAGTTCTATCCAATTCTTGTTCATTCTTCTCATGTCTGTCTCTATTTCTTGATGTAATGTATTCTTTGGTCTTCCCCTTCTCCTTTGGTTTTGAGGATTCCATGTAAAGGCTTTCATTGTGATGCAGTTGGGTGCTTTCCTCAATGTGTGTCCTATCCAATTCCGGCGCTTCTTCCCAATTTCTTCCTCCACTGGGATCTGGTTTGTTCTCTCCCATAGATTAGTTCAACTGCTCTTCAGTCACAATTAACTAACCCATTATCTCAAAGCAACCTGAAGAACGAACTAATGTAAGTTCTCCAACTCTTAGTGAGTTTGAAAAGGCTATAAGTAATCTAAAGCGAGGGAGAGCAGCAGATTCTAATGGACTAACCCCTGATATTTTTAGGGATGTCGGTCCAGTTTTACCAATTACATTAACTAAAATCTGGGGATTGGACGTAATGCCATCTAACGGGTCTCGAATTCAGTTTATAAGAAAAGATAAAATTCATCTTGTTACAATCACAGGAATCATTTTAATTAATATAGTATCAAAAATATTAGCCTCAATAACACTTCAACGTTTAACTAGACCTCGTGAACAGCAAACGAGAGAAAACTAGATTCGTTTCAGACCTAGTCGTAGATTTATAGAATGAATATTTACCTTTCGGAAGATTCTGGACTGTTACCGTCTCTACTATTCTGGGATTTGACCTGACAACTTCATCTCTTTGTGCTAATGAAGTATAACGATTTGAATCGATGTACAAACGTGCCGGGTTCTACGTTGTTATTAACTGACTGAGAGCAAAACAGGGACAAAAGTAGATGTTAACATTTTGCAGATTTTAAGTGAAACAATGTGCCAAAAATTCCTTTCGTTGTTCGTGATTTCTTCTTTATTTCTCTATTCATATCACCCGTTACATCTAACTATTGTTATTCTCTTGTTTTGTTTGATTTTTTTAGTAAAGTTTTTCTTTCACTTCAATCACGTTCAACTGGTTCAGGGTTTATTGTAGATCATTTAGGTCATGTAGTCACAAATGCTCATGTAGTTGGTTATCGCGGCGATGTTATGGTTCATTTATGTGATGGACGTTCATTTCCTGGAAAAGTTCTAGCAGTTGATGTCTCTTCTGATTTGGCACTTATTCGAGTTAGTTTTTTTTATTCCACTTGATGAAATATTCTGTTAATCTGTGATTTATTATGAACGTCTTCTTATGATTGAAGTAAACTTTACTCTTATAAACAAGAGCGTTTAAAATAATCATATTTACATTTTAGTTGCGGATTATGTCAAGTAATAATTTCATTGTTGTAAGTACTTTATCATTCACTCACGGATTCGAAAGCTTCTCCATTTCATAGGTATCAATGCCAAGATTGGACTTGATAGTTTCTCCAGTTCAGTTTGAATAATCTATGAGTATATCTAAGGTGAAAAAGATTCAAATCTATATGATAATCCAGTTGGTGTATTTAATTGATAAGAAATGCAATAACTCTGTATTACTGTTTTTTCAACATTATTTTTGGAAATATTAGTTGTCAGATAGACAAATGTAGCATAGATCCTGTTAAATATATGTGCACTTATCAATTATATTGCACTGCGCAACAGTACAGTAGAAGGTAAAACTCAATGATAATAATGACGTAAATCATCTAAATGCATAGTTATATACTCGACTTTAAGCTACACTTTATTTTATACTGTGGTGTGTGCTACTTGTTTCGAGAGATATTAGTAGTGTGTATCATCATTCGAATGTGAAATGTCTGGCGGCAGAAGGTTAAGAAGATCGAAGAGAAGAAGACGAGTACAGAGTATGATTGGTGTGGAAATGAAGGAACAATCGAGTCTGAGACGATTGACATTTTGCAAAAGAAGTATTTACTGTATGGTTGTCAGATTTGACTAAGAGATTCTATAATTTTGTGCCCGAATACATTTGGTTGTTCCCATCGGTGTTCTCGTTCACTACAACACCACTACCCGTTTACCCTAACTGAAGTAAGTTCAACAGGGTTGGAGTTCTCTATATAATGGATTAGATTTCAAGTACTTTAGTCAACGCTGCTAAGCCACCATTTCGTGGTTTAAAAAAAATAAATACGGAGAACACGAAGAAAAAGGAGTTCAAATGTTTCTAACTTCTATTTTTAGTTATAAAAGAAAAAAATGAAGTGAAGTTTTTAAGATTCAAATAAGACGGTATCTCTGTCCTACTCACATGCGATATGTCCTTTAATACAACGTTTATTGAATTATTTAACTATAAGGTGGAGTAAGTCGACAGGATATCCTGGACCTAGGCTCCGCGCTATTTCGTGCTCGTTAGCAAGGCGTACATGTAGTGTTGAGACAACAACCGATGTTCCCTGGCGCATTCGATTCCATGTCACCCAGTGTCGCAGTCAGAGACGTTACCACTGGATTATCCAGGCCGCGATTGTGATAAGGGATTAAATCCGCAAGGGAACTGATGTTCCCTCAACATTACAGGTACACCTTGCTGACAGTGTCAAATAGCACGCAACATAGGTCTAGGGTATCCTGTCAACTACCTCCACCTTTCATCCCATTATAATGCACATGATCTAGACTAGTGGCCACATTGCAACTTGAACGATAGAATTTGATCAGCAGTACATAAGGATCTGACATTGGTCACAACTCAATGATCAATCCATTGTTTAACATCTATATAATTGTTGTATGCAAACTAGTGGTTATAAGCAACACTCACATCAGTTTTAAATAAAAAAGTGTTTAGCTAAATAGATTTCACTGTAGACAGTCCTCCTAGTATTTCCTTAAAATTCAATTGAACTAGATGTTTTGTTTATTTTATTCTCAGAGATACATTTGCGCTTAATCATTATTCTCTATTTATGGAAATTCCTAGTTTCTTTTTTTTATGATATTGATTTAGTTAGACGTGAAGAAAGTCGTTTCAGAAAATCTTCCACATCTACCTATGGCTATCAATGTACAAAATATTCGTCCAGGTCAATTTGTATTGGCTTTAGGTAGTCCTTTGATGTTGGCCAACAGTGTTACAGTGGGTGTAGTGTCTGCAGTAGATAGAGACTTAGGTCATTCCGAAGGTCTCAAATATATCCAAACAGATGCTATAATAACAGTAAGTTTTAAATATTGTAGATAAAAATTAACATTATTATTATTATTTGTAATGATCTTTTATTAACTGATTGTTGATGATAAGGACTGTAATTGACCAGTCTCTATCGATATACGTACATTCTGAGTGAATTGCTCCGATATTGACATTTAATCAGAGTTTATATAAAGGTTGGAATAGTGGATGATAGCAGTGAAATCTATTATATGCGTTTCGCCCTATTTGTGACTCGTCTTCTGGATAGATTGTTGTTAATATTCACACGAATTATCACTTGTAGCGAAAGATACACTAGGCTTACATCTCATTTAAACGTCAACACTATGATTCAGGTACGTCCATCTAACAAGCCCTGGATAGAAAGAAAGCTGCCTCCTGGATTTTACTACTAATCATTAGTCAACTTTAACAATACTACTGTTTCTGTTTTTTTTAATTGTCAATTAACTTAATTAAATCAATAAGCTTCATTTTTGAGCTTTTGCTTATTCAGTCAACATAATCTAATGAACAACTTTACTATACTTATAATACGAATAGAAATAACTTTCATATTACTACAAAAAGCATTCAAAATAAAAATGATTATGATAATAACTCTAAAATTGACATTTAAAAGCCTCAATTTTATTTGTAATGGTTTGGATTATCTAATTGTTGATATTTTAACTGAAATTTATTCTGTCTTGGTTGGTATATTTGCATCCAGTGCGAATTGCTTCAATGTAGTCACTATGACACAACTTTATGTAGAATAGATGGGATGTAGGTATCAGTGGAATCGAGGACGAATGTTTCGTCTTATTTAGGACTCACCAGGGATAACTCAGACTGTTAGGAATTCATATCCGTTCCACATGTAACTATCTGTCTGGACTTATAAACTAAGTGGACAACACGTTAGCGTTTGAAGCCAACGGCACTGGTTTCGAGTCACGTGGTGAATATCAACAATGATGCAGGTACATTCAGCTAACGAGTCCCAAATAGGACGAAGCTCACATTCTGTTTCCCACCATTAGCCATATCCCATCTATTCTAAATTAAAAACCTCGTTTTCTATCATGATCAACTGAGCTGTTCTATGCAAAAACGTTCCATAAGATTACGTCTTCGAAAAGCTTTCGATGTAAAATAAATATATTTCCTTAGAGATGTTTCCTCCAGTCAACTTGTGTACCGAATTCACTAAATATTTGATTCTCTCCACTGATTTGAGAACTGTAGTTGAATACAGTTATATGAAGCGGTAGCTTATTTGTCAAGGTTGTTCCGAATTCACTGATCTGTACTTATTTTACAGATAGAATTGTCTCAAATTAGTTTGCGTCCTTGATGGGCTAGGTTGCTTAGTTCAAGCTTGAGAATGCAACACATAATTTCGACTTTGTGATTGGACAGCGTTGAGGGCAGAGAGGAAAGATTATCCTGTCATTGTCTAACAAGCTGGTCGGTTGGCAAGCGAAGGAAGATGATGATTATGGCGAGAAACTCTAGATCTGATTCAGCTGACTGCAAAAGATACATGAATGAATATATGAATAGCAGAACCACAATGCCGAAAGAATGTGAAAAATACAGTTATACCAAACTAGGACGCTAGAGTAAAAAAATTAGGATACAAGAACTATATTTAAATTAAAATAATTTTAGAACAGAAGGAAATATGACGATAATTTATAGATTAATCAAACACTTATGATTTATGGGATGAAACAGGCATATAACTGAATGTTAGTAATTTACAGATTACAAATTAGGCTAAACAGTCTCCCAAAAACTAGCTTTCATTTTTTATCATGCCTTCCTCGTTCTTTTTTTCACAGTGCCGTTTGACTCTCAACCAATAGTTTTCATGCTCAAATCTCGTTCTAGCTAGTTCAGTTTGGGCAACGGGGTATTATAGATAACTTATATACTCAAAGTTATGGTTCAAATCCGAGTACACGGACTTGAACTTAATGAGTTACATCACTATATTCATGATAGCTGCTAAGATAGTGTTTTCAAAATAAAAAAGCTTCGTCATCCAAACTGAAATATATTCCTAATAGGATGAGAAGTCACCTTCAGTGTAAGATTATTATGCAGGACCGTTTCATAACTAACTTAATAAATAAAATACTTGAACAATGCAGTATTTCTGACATAACTAATTGCTGTGTGTATAAATTCAGTTTTACACAACGGTTAGAATCGTTGATTAAATGCTTTTACAATAACAGCTGATTGAAATCCCTTGAGTTCTTTCACACCCTGTGTTAATATCCGGGATCCAACATATGTTAGTCAGTTTTTTCCTATCTGTTTAAAAAACTTTATTACCGACACTAACTAAAGTTTGATTTTTTTATTGACATCATGAATCAATTGATGTTACACCACCGTTGGAAACCTGGAAGCACTGGACGGCCGTTTCGTCCTAGTATGGGACTCTTCGGCAATGCGCATCCACGATCCCGCTCCCTGCGAGATTCGAACCCAGGACCTATCGTGAGGGAATTCTCGGAGTTCTAGTGAGAAGCCGTGACCAGTGGAGCTAATTCGTGTCAGGTAGAGACAGGTATTTACCTCAGTACAATGGAAGTTGATTGCACAATTCCGTGGATTGGTTGATATTAGACACTAACACCATTGGATGCCGGCTCAGTGGTCTAGTTGGTTAAGCGCCTGGCGCGAGACTGATAGGTCCTGGGTTCGAATCTCGCAGGGAGCGGGATCGTGGATGCGCCTTGCCGAAGAGTCCCATACTAGGACGAAACGGCCGTCCAGTGCTTCCAGGTTTCCAACGGTGGTGTAACATCAATTGATTCATGATCTCAATCAAAAACTTAACAATCTCCACAACCCCTATACTGATAAAGTTTAATTATCAGTATGGAGATTTGTGAGGATTGTAGTATTTTAGCAGTTGAATCCACGAGTCAATCTAAGCTAGACCACTATCGAAAACCTGGAAACACTGGACGACGTTCCGTCCTACTATGGGACTCCTCGTCAGTGCTCATCCACGATTCCTCAAGGGGTACTCGAACCGTGACCAATGGAGTCCAGTCGGTATCGGGTAGAGATATTTATCCACCTCAGACGATGGATGAATGGTTGCGCAAGATCATGGATCGATTGAAGTTAGACGTTAACACTTGGTCGCCGGCCCAGTGATCTATAGGTTAAGCGAGGCCGAAAGTCCTAGGTTCGAGTACCGCGTGCGGGACCTTGAAGTTTAATTGTTAATTACGGTTTCTTTTTGCATTTTTGAGTTTGGAAATTCCGGTGGTCCATTGGTGAATTTATATGGTGAAGTTATTGGGGTTAACGCTATGGTGGCTGGTACAGGAGTGGGATTTGCCATACCTGTTGATCAAGTTCGAAAATTCATACAGTTAGCACTAAAAGCATCCTCAAATACTCGAAGCTCTTCCCCAGTATCGTCAGCATCGCCTACTGATCCATATATTTTAGCAGACAATCCAACCAATTCCGAAAGCGGAACTCAACGTCGATACTTAGGCCTAGTTATGCGAACGCTTACTCCAGAACTGGCTTTCGAATTGGCATCTCGGGGTGGACAACATTTTGTAGAGTTGAATGGTGTTCTGATTCATGCTGTATTGAGGAACTCCCCTGCCCAAAAGTAAGTTCACATGACTTTGAATAAATTGTAGAAAACCACTTATTTTGCATCAAAAAGAAATTATCTTGTCAAAATGTCTACAAACCATTATTATCACACTTATTTACAAGTCAATAGCTTAGAACTATTAACAATCTTCTTATCATGACTATTATTATTAAGAACTACAAATTTGCTAACACTACCAAGGTTCGATTAAAAGTTTTTGATTATCATGATATTTGCATTTTGAATTAAAATTTTTAAACATTATTTTTATACTCAAGAAACAATGCTCTCTGTAAAACTTGTCATGTGTGGAATCTATCTAATTATTTGACGTTCGGTCCTCCATAAAGTTTCGCTACTAATCAGCTCCATAAAGCAACTTTGCTTCTATGTAGGTTTTAGCGAGTCTTAAATACAATTCAATATGGGCTTCTTTTTGCTAGTTACAAATCTCATTAGATAGATGGAGTGGTTACTGTTGACCTTTAAATCACCGTTCAGTAAAGTAGTAACACTGAAGATATAGTTCTTAATCAATGTTACAAAACTCTTTAAAAGCTCAAAGTGATAATTTTATATATATTCCTTTATTAACTCTGATAAATAGCTTTAAAAAATTACAAACACATTTAAAGGATGTTTAAATTATCTTTAAAAAGCTTGTTCTTAACTAATTTCGCAAGTACAATTTCAGCCTCCCATTTACATTGTTATAAACTCACGATATACTCGTCTAGTTTACTACACAAATTAACCGGTAATCATACTGACTTATAATAATTTTCTAATTAAAAATACAGATTTTACCTAAAGTAGTATCAACGATTTCACTATAATCGGCATTATTTCCTAATGTCTTTGAAGAGAAATTACTCTACATAAATTTAATATTTCAACAGAGCTTCAAACTATTATTTGTTTACAAAAAAGAACTCCGAGAAAAACAATCATATCCGGAAATTATCTATCAGTTGATTCTAACTCTATTTTAAATAGCAGATCCCTATTCAACAAGTGTTTATATCGACGACCCAGTTTAATACACTTATTTCACAATATACACTTACTTGTTGAACGTCGTTTATGCATATTTGTGGGTGGAATTTACTAGCTCAAATATCACACATATTAATACTTTACACAACGCAGCAACTCCACCGTGATTAAGAAACTTCATTCCCATTGTATTACAAGATTTGATCAGTTAGTCAGCCACAACGCAGGACCCGGCACGTTTGTACATCGATCCAAATCGTTATACCCCATTAGCATAAAGAGAGGAAGTTGTCCGGTCAAATCCCAAAATAGTAGAGACGGTAAGTCTGAGTGGTAATGGTGAAGATTACGCAACGAAGATATGCTTCGAAAAATGTGTGGTGAAATGAAAGCACAAGACGCCTCGATAAATTTACCTTAGAACTTTACGACCTCGTCAGTCGACTTGCCATCCTTACCTGGTGCCATATTCCTAACCCGGCTACTGCTTACTCCGCGGTCCCAAAATACACGGCTACTACTTCGAGGACACCTATGATCGAATACCAATATCCTCTACCCTTAATGGATATGTTTCATACCCATGAAGTAGGACAGAGTGAACTGCTGCACAGTAAACTCGTCCTTTGTTCGATAAACGGATATCTCACCTACACCAGTGACGCACGTCGACCAAACCGAACGAGCCTTCTGAACCCATGTCGAGATCTCGTCACGCACTAGACCACCAGGACTGACGAGAATCTCAAGATGAGTGAAGCGGTCAGTGAGTTCAAATACTTCACTCCTTATCGTTAATTCAAGAGGTCACGCAATCCAATTCTAAAGCGACACTTTACATAATTGCATTGTTGCTTGAGGTGTTCGGAAGACTGTATTTTGTTAGTGTCTTCATCGAACAGTACTATATCATCTGCATTTTTTAAGTCAACAAGTAAACCTCCTAGTCGAACATCAATCCCTAAAAAGTCGGACGATGAAAGCGTTATCTCTAAAAGCAAATTTACGACAAGGTTACAAACACCACTTGAAGTAACCAAATTCGATGACAGTTCGCCATAAGCTCTGACTCGATCAGTAGCGTTCGAGTAGTAGTGAGCATGTACAGTAATTCTTGCGTACGCCTTTCAATGACAAACACTTCCAGAGAACCTCACGATTAACGGACCTAAACGTTGCTTTTAGGTCAAAGAATACAACCATAAGCGGACGTCGATAAATGAATTGAGCAGTTTGCACGCTCTACTACTTCTTTCCTATCGTTAATCTGACGCAAACCAATCCTAAAGCGACATTTTCCATTCGGTAGGAGAGAAACAAACAATGGTCGTTATAATGATTCTAGAACGTGAGGTATATTAAAAGCAATAAAAAAACAGAAACCTTGCACAGTTAATTGGCTTTCGACAGCGATTTTCTTCTACTAATTAACTTTGTAATACTAATCTCTAGTAATTGAGATTCAGCATAAATTTTATACATTTATTTTACAGAGCAGGACTAAGAGCTGGAGATGTAATTGTTGCCATTGATGGTCTACCTATAACGAATGCTCAACAAGTTTACACTGCAACTGAAAGCCGAGAACAACTGACAATCACTATCGTCAGACAAGGAAAACGAATAACCATAGATCATATTCAGACGGAAAAGATTTAGAACATTAATTAGATCCTTGATTTAAATTATTTTACACACAGTATATAATTCTGTATTATACATACACGAGTATTTATAATTAAATCATGCACAATGCTACTATCTCTTTTCTATTTTGCATTCTTTTACATAAGATAACTTGGAAGCAAAATACACTTGCTGCTTCAATACATTGTATTTAAATAGAACAATAATTAAGGTATTTTGAAAATAAAATGATTTTTATTCCAATGTATTAAGACAGATTATATATATATATATATATATATATATATATATATATATATATATATATATATATGCCGGTCAAGTAAATCAAGTGTTTGTGAAAATATCAACTAACAAGGATAGAGAAAAAGAGAATAAATCAAGAAGACAGAAATGCTAAAAAGAGAAAATTCTAAAGTATATTATGCTTTTTTCATTTTATTGATTGCATTATCACATCAATACAATGGAATGAGCTGCAGAACTAGTTTATCCCTGACCATTAACGCACATCTATCATATTTAGCTCGACTTTAAATGAAACATAAGGAAAATAGTCCGATGAAGCCCCGAAACTCCCAACATTCATATCTTCCTGTAAAGAGATATTCGCAGAGACGAGTAAAGTTCAACAAAAGGGAAGGGAAGTGTGTATTGAAATTAACGTTTTAGCAAAATTAATGTAAACAAATGAAATTACGAACAAAATAATTGTCACAGTAAACATGTTTATCTTTAAACAAATAGCTACTTTTGCGGAGGGGAAATGACGTAGGTTATTGTACTCAAAACAGATCCTCTGTATGTATTTCGCGGAAAACTTTAATTTGCTCTGCCATAACAGATTTTTTGTTGAAGATGTAGACTTCAGTAAACATCATTAGAATTTTTTTTGAGATCTATTCTACGACCAAAACTACATTGTGCATTCCTGAAATATTATTATTATACATATGCGCCACATAAATCTTGTTTGATTTGTGTGAGGGCTGTGGTACTACTTGGGCGCCCAAACCGAAGCAGATGGTTTTCTTAAGGGGCCACACCCCGAGCCTTTGACCTAAAGGTCTGATCCACAAGGCAGTGGGGCATCGTGAGGAGATGCAGTCCCGTGGTAGCCGGTAACCAACGATTGATTCATATGCCATCAGGATACTAGAGCGCATGTGCACCATTGGTTTTAAATCAGGGTTTTCCAACTCCCCTAGGTGAATTCGCCGGCCCGGTTAAAGCGCCGGACATTCGCTTTTCGTCCTCTCATTTTCGTAAACAACACTCCTGCCACGAGAAGGCAGTGAGTAGGACTTCCCTTGCAGTGGCTGTATACGCGTGGCCATGTGAGAGCATTTCGAGAGGAAGTGATGACTCTTCCCACCCTCGGCTGTACCAGGGCATTCCTGAAATATAGGCTAACCAGTGTCTATATCTCAAGCGAAACCAACCACACCCCTCATTTTGTCTGGAAAAATATACGACTGGAATACTTCAGATCCGTACTTGTTAAGATTCACATTTATTAGATTTCAGTTTAAAAGTCTTTGTGAAGACGTATCCAATAGCCTTCCCTATTAACCTTGGGGTAGAGATAAGAACAGACTTTTTGGTCCTATTCTAGAACCTTTTATTTAAAATAATATATATATTTTTTCGTTATATCCCAACAAGTAGAAAAATTGTATTTCTGATGTTTTGCGATGATGTAATCCATTTCTTATGTCAGAAATATATATAAAATTTTTCTACTGATTAGGATATAAAAAAGTATTTATTATTAACTCTACTCAGTGCTCAATTTATTTGAAACTCAAGTCCAACCTTGATATGATACCTATAAACTCATTAATAATCTTTTATTTAAATATAACTAATTGAGAAAAGGTCATTTACAACTGAAAATCTAACGCGAAAATTTACTTTCAAATGTGTAACAAACACTTATTTTGTGTGTAACAGTTAACCTGTATAAAAGAAACTCATTATCGATAACACCGGAACACATATTGTATAGACACAGGAACAGTGTTTTATATCTCCCACCACAATACTACACTTATAAATGCAAACATATCAATTAAGCACAAGTTTTTATGCAATCACGAACAATCCTGTTATATGCCACAGTAATAAATATACGAATAGATGTTAATGCTTACATCTAAGACGGAGCTTGAAGACGATCCATCCAGATGGTTGTAAAGTTGTTTTAGTATATCTCTTAATTTCTTTTGCTGCTTTTTGTTTGGCTCAAGGAGTATCGCTTGAAAGTCAACCGGCAATCCATATCTACAACAAGATGGAAAATTACTTCAGAATTAGCATATGATGTAGCAGAACAAATTCAATGCAGCAGGATTACCACTTATTTGTACATCCGGATACAAAGCAACAGAAATGTCACATTTAAAAATACTTTGGTTAGGTGTTCACCTTTGAAAGTACATTTACTAGTTGTGCAAACATGTTGAGATCTTAAAAATAGATATCCTTATTCAATATTGTTTCATTCACTTGTAAAATCAGGATTGCAGTTCAGCTTTGGGAAATATAATGACAGGTATTTTCGCTGGACAGTGACTCTTTTGCCCTTGTAAAATACCTTACTTGCTTTTCATAATAGTCCACAATAGTGATATCACAAGGATTGTAAACTTGGTGTGAATCCCATTCCACTTAATGACGTTCATTTCGCACTATAAGCTCCCTCATGAGTAGCTCGTTGTTGCAAAAGCCTTTACACGGTTATGGTATCACCTCTATTTTGAAACTCCAAATCGTGACTACTACAAAGAAATGCTTATATTGTCTAAACTGTTTCAGATTTATTTTACTATAATTACAAGTGACTTGACCACAATCAAAATATTTTATTCAAAACATGAACCGTAAGCACTCCACATGTTTGCTACCTATATCAACTGAGCCACAATAAAGCAACTTCTTAGCATGATCGTGAATATTTCTCCACCAGACTTGACGACTATCCGCGAAAAGTCCATAAAACCATTAGCATAAAAGATACCGTAAATCTATTATTTTAGTTCTGAACATTATTTCAACTAGTATAGTATGCACCACTGACAAACACCTAGTATAGATTCTGCCAGACTCCGATCTCCTAGATACGGTTACATTTGTTACTCACATTAGACTTAATTTTTCAATTTTGTTTACAACTGAAAGTTAGTCTCGAGTTGATGGTAAGGAAATGTCTTTGCAACGTATGTATTTTGAGATACCATATACTTAAACGAACCTGGATGCTGGGAACCACTAAATGGGATTACGAACACACCACATTTATATTTAGATCATCGACAGAAAAATATCATACGACAGTTGGAAGCCTTGATCAAAGTAAATTTATCTAATCACTATCATTTTTTGTACCACGTATTTACCCCAATAATGTTTATTATCAGTATAATGACTTTTAGCTCGTTTCAACTGCTTCCTATGCCACAAGACAACCATGGAAGTACTTTCCATCACTTAACCTTTCAGATTGAAATAAAATGATTAACAGGGTTCCATATGCATTTTAAACGATCATAAGGTGACATAAAATAACTACAAACTAAACAGGTAGTAGGTAAGCTGACGAAAATAAAACTTCTTACCTTAAAACTGACTCAACAAATACCCGGAGGGCTTTAATATGAACCATAGCAGAAAAAGCCTCACCAAAATTAACTTTCAACCAACGAAACAGAGGAGCCTAGTTAGGAATTTAAAAAAGTTATGCACTAAAATCAAAATGATTGGAAAAAGTATCATACTGTAGACAATCAAGGTACAACTTAGCTGTATGCAACAATGTGCAAATGCTATCTTACGAACCAGGGAAAACAATCTTATTTTGAAAGTAACTTCTTTTGTTATCCATCCCAGTGATCTTCAATTGAGTACAATCGTGATTCCCGTTACTGCCTTTTAATTGGTAGAAAAACGAGATGTTTGTTTTAATCATTTGGCTTTCCTTCATTAAGTCATATTCTGACCAACAGACACACATCACTTGTGACTGGAAAGAACAAAATGGAAACAGTTTCTTGTCAAACGCCTGTAAACGACTACTAAAGACATAACGAGAAGCGTGATTATCTGTCTTCAATATTTGAGATTATGTTTCAAGAAGTGCTGGTAGGATGACGTTTAAAGAAATGCATATGGCTCAATACATTTAAAACCGAACAGTTTACTGACTTTAGGAAGGAAACATTTATGTGACAAAAATTCCATAAGGCAGTATTAATAACAAAAATAAACCGACTTACAAACTGTCTTTTCTTATCGGACTCAAGTTTCGACAGCTCATTTCTACTTTCCTCAATTTTCTTCTCATCATAAGTAAAATCACGCACAACAAACCTAACAATTGGTTTTGAATATTTAAACAAACCTAAATTCACGAGCCTGAGTTTTAAAATCATCCGTCATTTTTTTGAAGAGCGTAACAGTCCACAAGCCATTATCTTGATCTTCAAAAATAAGTCTTAATCGGTTACAAAAAAGGATTGCGAATTACTCAGACGATTTAGGAACGACCATATCTGTCATTCTTTCATAATTAGATTTCCAATCATTATACATATTCCTGATAATAAACATATCAAAAAAAACTTACTTTGGAACAACAACAACTAGAGTAGTTAGGTATTCCGAATCAACAATAAATTGTTCTCGCTTCACAATATCTCCAAGCTCGCGTGTTAAAAGACTACCCCTAAAGGAATTTAAGGTACTTTAAAATATACTGCTTACGTCTGCTTTCGTTCTAGATTTTGAAGACAACCCTTTAAGGTATTATATGACTGAGACTTTGCTTTTAAATCCGAATCTATTTTTGTAAGTTGCTATAAACAATATTACTTGGCGTGAAATAAAAATACCTCTGAAATAATAGCATATAGTGAACTTAACGTTTGTTTGACTGGATATTTAGCATAATCCCACTGGAATTTGGTGAGGAACGCGGCAGGAGAAACTGAGGATATAAAAATAAGAAATAGAACATACGTCCATTTACCGTCAAGTTGTCTTCCAACTTGTGTTTTTGTTCTTCGAGTACATCGCCCATGTACTGGGCAACTTTCTTGGTAATACTTGAGCTGCTATTTGAACCTATTAGACAGTTACCTCTCAGCATACACATCTAATTTTGACAGCTCATCAGAAAGACCCACTAGAATATCCAGCGTTCCCACCTAAAGCTTCTAAATCATCTGACATCTACACAAATACCTTG